CTGTCTCTGGTGAAGCCTCTCGCTGCCCCTGAGCCTCTGGCCTGTACCCCAGTTCTGTATGCACAAATAAATAAATCTTTAAAAAAAAAAGAATTAACAAAGAATAAAAGGCTAGAACCAGAGGCTGTATAATCTGCTTTATAGGGACTGATCACACTTACCCCAAATGTTGACGTTATAATTTTTTTCAGTTTTTCCAGCAATATTTGTTGCCTCACAAGTGTAGCGACCAGTGTCTTGAACCTGAGCATCTTCAATCTGAAAACAAAATCATGCTTTGAAACCACTGTCTATTTTCAAAGTATTGGGGTATTCCTGTTAATATTATTTGTAATCTCTTATTTTTCATTTGTATTCTGAAGACTTTCAAATATATGAAGAAGTGAGTGGAAGGTAAAAAGGATGGCTAAGTGCCCATCATCCACATCCAACATTTATTAAGATGAAAAATTTTCATCTACAGCATACTTACTGTAATTTCAATAATAGTTGTTGAAGTTCTAAAAAGATCTTCTAAATATGATTATGATAAAAAAAAACAACCACTTCCAAATATCTTATTTTGGGATTTAAAATGTACACTCTTTATATTTCCAAGATAATATTTAGTAAGATAATACCATTATTGGCTTATATCATGTCTTCTCTTCAGGCTGGGCTTGTAAGTTTCTTCAAGACATGTATTATAATCAACTAGTCACAATCTTTAGTGCTCAACAGATAAATGAGCATCAGTAAACATTCTGTATGTGCTCATCATTCATTCATTGTAGTTACTCATAACATTGTGTCAGATACTGTAGATACAAAATAAAATAGCTTGATATATGGCTTCTGACATGTTTTAATCTAGTTGGGAACATAAACTATATGAATATAAAAATGTTGAATAATTATGTATAAATAATAAAAGGTAACAGATATAAAACCAAAAGTATGTGAGATTGCTCAAATGACTTATACTACTATGTCCATCTGTAATCCTGGCCTTCCTATATCACTAGTTCCATTGCTATGAGATGAAAATTCCCAAAGTCGAGGCCCCCTTGCTTCCATATATACCTTCAAGCTCCCTCCCACTCATTCCCATGTTTCTGTCCATGTTTCTGTATGACACTCATCATACATTACTCAAGACTGTTTTCTAGGAATAACCTTCCTTTACTAGAGGCTATATGATGCAGTAGTGAGTTGCCTGGGTTCTGAAACTGTATCCCCTGCATTCCAACCCCCATTATGCCTCACAGTAACTGTCAGCAGATTATTGAGCCATCCTTGAAATTTCTCAGTAGGATTAAAAGGGATTTTATAAACATTCCAATGTCCTGCTGTCGTCCTCAATCTTAATTCTTTAGGCTGAATTTCAATATTAGCTCTTATTTTACTCAAACCAACCTTGTCAACATTATTTCTAAATATTCACTTTGTTAAATTATCTGTTTTAGCCACGCTAGCCTACTTGTATTTATTAAATGTGTCTTTTCTCCCATCTACTTTAAAAAACCAAGCAGCTTTCCACGGTTTTCCAGGCAACTACAACTTCAACTTTGGTTATCTTCCCATATATTTTGTTTGTACCAACTCAAATTTAAAGCATTTTCTAAATGAATAAATAGTGAATTTTTCACATATTATGTGTAATTGAAAGACACTGAGAACAAGAATTATTTCATATAATTTTTGTCCCTGTTTAGAACACCTACAATGGGTATTTGCTGATCAGCTGAATGACTAAAGATGAGGTATGCCCTAGAATATCTCTTTAATATTTTTCTAGAAGCACATGTTTTAAAAGACTTCTGACTACAAAGTGGATTAATAATTAGTTAAATCTTACTAAGTATACAATTTTAAAAATACTATAAACCTTATCATTAAAAGCTTTTATAGAATCTTATAAGTGAAATGGTAAAAAGAAAAATCAAGTGTAATGGGCATAATACTGAAGTAAGATCTATTGAATAATATAAGAGAAATACATGACTCTCTAACCTTACCTTTAACACACTTCCATTTTCAGAGATATGGAGACCTGGTTTCTTCAGCATGGGGCGGCCATCTTTCAGCCAAGTCAGAGTAGGTGGGGGAATAGCATCACTTTGACACAGTAACTCCACAGCTTGGCTAATGAGAACAGAGACGTTCTGTTCTTCTCCCATAATATTTGGTGGAACTAAGTGAAAGAAGGATTTTCCCTCAGGATAAATCAGGCAAACACACTGTTTATTTTAATTAAATATCAGGACATATAATGAATAACTTCATTTATTAATTAAGGATGTAGGAACATAATTATTTACCATATGCTTTGTGTCATTTGGTTCAGAATCAAGTGTTAATAAACCATTGATTAATGTGTTCCTGTTGAACAAAAATCATTTTCAAAAACTTTTCACTTGAAGTTTTAGAGCAAATTCAGCAAGGGAGTCTGGCTAGATGGCTGCAGAGTGAATAAAACGGGCTCACATCCATTAGACATGTACAGTAACATGAATAAAAAGAAAAATACAACCCCCTAAAGGAAACGTTGTCTATTAGTGTTCACAATAGGAGCAATAGTCTTATTGAAAGGAGTGCAGTACAGCCCATAAGAAGAAGAGTGAATGTTGTGCAGCTTCTGACTTGGGTACATCCTAACACCAAGGCTCTGAGACCAAGCACTGTGCCAAAGAAGGCGTTTACAAGCAGGCATGCAGGATCAAAAGTGCACTGGAAGTGAGGTTCTGTGATGAAAGCAGACAGCAATGAAAGCTGGCTTGAACCTGAGGCTCATAACACAGTACACTGTGGCCTGAATCAGATCAGAGTACCTTGACTTCCATTTACAGTAGACTACTAACATCTGAAACACTTGCCATCCCCCCACAAGGAAACATTACAACAGGAACTTCGAATTCCTGAGTCTACTGGAGGCTTCCTTTTATGCCTGTTGCCCCAATCCTTTTTAAAACATGCTATCTCCTCCCCTGCTGGTACCAGACCATGATTACTCCAACAATGGCAAACACAACAGTTGAAATGAATACTTACCAAAACACACACAAATATGAATTGAGGTGACAGAAGAACACAGTATGAATGCTAAAACAAGAAAACCCTGAAAGGAACCCTGACATAGAGGCATTGTAGAGCAGACAAAGGGGAAGTCAGAGCAACAGTCTTGGCAACACTGATGAAACTTCCAGAGGATATACAACAACAACAACAGGACAAAGATAATGAAAAATTACATTCAGTAATAATGGAATTAAAAAGCACTGTAACTGAATTAAAAAATAAAATCTTGAGAGATGTAATTGCAGATCAACAGAAGCATTGGATATAATTAGTGAATCTGAAAAAACAATACTGGGAACACAATAATAGAAGAAGATAGAGAAAAACAATTTTAAAAAATGAAAACAGTATAACAGCCCTGGGAGGTAACTTAAAGAGGAAAAATGCACATTTGGGGTTTCCAGAAGAAGAAGAAAGAGAGAAAGACATAGAAAACCTATTTAAAGAAGTGAATGACTGAAACTACTGCTCTGAAAAATGAACTAGCATTTGTAATAGAAGGGTCCAAAAGAGTTCCAAACAAAATTATACTAGATAGACTGATATCAAGACACATAATTACAAAGCTATCAGAATCAATAAAACAGTAAGAATACTAAAAATATCTAGAGAAAAATGGTCAGCTCTAAAGGAAGGTACAGGGGCGGAATTACTGGTCAGGCCCAACACTGGCTATTTATAATAGCCATTCCATGCAAGCAACTTAAGTGTCCAAGGTCAGATAAGTGGATTAAGAATCATGCAGTCAGACTATCAGCAGATTTTTTCAACAGAAACATCACAAACATGAAGGGTCTGGAAAGACATATCCAAAGTAATTAAAGAACAAAAAGACTGCCAACCCAGAATCCTCTACCAGCAAGACTAACAGCCAAGATAAAAGGAAACATATGGAGCTTACTGAAAGGTAAAAACTAAAAGAATTTATGAATATCAATCCTAACAGGTTTTTTTTTTATATAAAGTAACAGCAATGAATATCTAGGAATGTAAAATACTTAAGATAGAAGAGCAAGAAGAAAATAACAATGCAATTCATTAGGATTAGCAAGACTACTCAATGGGTCACATAAATATTCAATCTCAGTATAAACCGCAAACAAAAAATAATAAAAGTAACACATAAAATAACAAAATGAATAGAAGCTAAATAAAACATAAAAGGAAACCCTAAAAAAAAAATAAAAAGACAAGTGAACAAAAATAAAAACATAACAAAATGGCAGTAAACTCATATCTCAATAATCACTGTAAATGTAAATGGCTTGAAATCACCAAAGATACTGGATAATTGGATGGATATCATAACAAAGTCCAACTTTCTGATGTTTACATGAAATTCACTTTAGCAACAAAGAAAAACAGAATTAAAGGTTGACTGACAGTTATACAAACAAATGGCTGCAACAACAAAATAATCAGGAATAGCTATACTTGTATCTGACAGAATAGACTTTCATTTAAGAAAGGTGATGATGGGGCAATGAGATACATAAGACAACTAATAATTGAATTTAAGAGATACTGATAATAACAAAATACTAGAGAATTTGAATAGCCCACCTTAAATAATGAAATGATCATGACAAAGTATGAATAAGGCAATTATAACTTTAAACTAGGAGCTAGACCACACAGATTTAACAGAAATATATGCAAAGCTGCTACATACACATTATTTTCCCAAGTACACAGTAATATCTTTAAGAGTAGACCATAACTTGGGACACAAGTGAAATGTCAAAAAAAAAAAAAATCACAACAACTGAAATTATACCTAAACCTTCTCTGATCAGGAGGCCATGGATCTAGAAATCTATTATAACAAAAATAAAATCCATGGATACATGAAGATTAAAACCACATGCTGTTTAATAACAATTGTACAAAAGAGAAAAATCAAAGGAGAAATTTGAAAAATGCCTTGAGATGAGAAAATATAATGGTATAAATTACCATAATTTGTGGGATGTAGAAAAGTTGTCTTAATGAGTTGGAAATAATTGCAAATATAGGACCATATTAAAAAGCAGTATAAGGCCCTTCCTGGTGGTACAGCAGGGTAAAGCACAGTACTAAGAAGCTTAAGCCACTTCCCCATGAGTTCAATTCCTTCCTGCCCGGGGGGAGATCCACATGGTGAGGCAGACCTCTCCTGGCCTGCCCACTGCTCGCTTCAGCAGTGTACTTTGTCCATCTGCCTGCTCTGCTCCCCACTCTGTCCCTGGTGAATCGGCTCACCCTCCGCATCTCTGGCCTGTACCCCAGCTCTATATGAATAAATAAATAAATCTTAAAAAAAAAGCAATATAAATATCATTTAACCAATGTTATACCAAAGGCAAATTTAAAAAAGCAGAATTTAAAAATTTAAAGAATATTTAAAGTTAGTAGAAGGAAATTAAAAAAAATAAGACTTAAAATAGGGGCCAAAGTTTATACAAATAAAATGAAACTAAGGTGTTTAATTTATAACATAAACTAAATAGGTAAGCCCAAAACAAGGCTAACAAAATAAAAAGAGAGAGACAGAGAGAAACATTAATAAAATACTATTGCAAATGAAAGAGGAGAAATCCCTATAAGTCATATAAACAGAAAAGATTATGAGACTACTATGAGCAAGTATATGTCAATAACTTTCAAGGGTTGGATAAATTTCTAGATCAATATAATATACCAAGACTAGCCCAGGAAGAGACAAATGAATTGAACAAATTGATCACAAACATAGGAATTGAAGCAGCAATAAAAATACTACAAAAAGATAAAAACCCAGTATCAGATGGCTTTACAAATGACTTTTAATAAACTTTTAAAGAAAAATTAATATCTTTTACTCAAGTTGCTTCTATAAATACAAGAAGAAATCCTCCCTAATACATTTTATTGTGCCGACATTACCTTAATACCAAAACCAATCAAAGGTAACACAAGAGAAGAAAGACAAATCTTCGAAAAACATCAATGCAACCCCCCCCATAAGCTTTCCATATAAGATCTGCACAATAAAAAGATGCTCATTATCACCACTTCTGTTGATCTTGGTAATAAATGTTTTAGCCAGAGCAATAAGACACAAGAAATAAAGGGAATTCAAGTCATCAAAGAAGAAGTGAAACTATAACTAATTACTGATGATATAATATTATATATAGAAAACAATAAGGACATCTTTCAAAAGTTATTAGAAACGATAAATGAATATAGCAAAGTGGTAGGCCACAAAATCAAAATACAAAAATTCATTATCCAAACAATGAACAATAAGAAAAATAAATTAAGCAAATAACTCTATTCATAATTGCATCCCAAAATTAAATAATTTGGGATAAATTTAACAAAGCAGGTAAAGAACCACTATAAGAACTACAAAATGTTATTAAAGGACTTAATGCAACTAAATAAGCTGGCAGAGTGTTCTGTGATTATGATATATTATATCATTATATATAATCATAATGATGATCTTGTCTAAAATGGTATACAAATTTAATGCAATCCCTATCAAAATCCCAGCAATATTTTTCAAAGAAACTGAAAAAAAAAATTATTTAAATTTATATTAATCCACAAAATTCTTTGAGTAAAAGCAACCTAAGAAAAATCTGAAGAAATGGAAGTTATTACTTCACTTTACTTCAAATTTTATTGAAAAGCAATATATTAAAAACAATATGGCATTGGCAAAAAAAAAAAATGATTGGACTATAAGAATAGAATTGAAAGTCCAGAAATAAATCAATACACATACCAGTACCTAATCTATGATAAAACACCCATGACCATAACATTAGAAAGAGTGTCTTCAATAAATTGTGCAGGGAAAATTGGATTATTTGCTAACACCTTACACAAAAATAAATTCCAAATGTATTAAAGATTTAGAAATAAGACTTTAAATAATAAAATGCATAGAAGACATTGGTGATGTGTTTCAGGAAGTCAATAATAAATAAATTGTTAGTGACTCAACTCTTAAGGCAAGGGAACTAAAATAAAAAACAACTGGGATTACCTTAAGTTAAAAAATGTTCTATATAGCAAAAGAAAACACAAAACAAATTACATAAATACTCTACTGAATGAGAAAAAAATACAGAATATATAACTGAT